AGTGAGAGTGAGAAGAGGGGATAGATGAATGTATGCACTAGAAGACGGATAAAATAAATCATGGACGAGTGAGAGTGAGAAGAGGGGATAGATGAATGTATGCACTAGAAGACGGATAAAATAAATCATGGACGAGTGAGAGTGAGAAGAGGGGATAGATGAATGTATGCACTAGAAGACGGATAAAATAAATCATGGACGAGTGAGAGTGAGAAGAGGGGATAGATGAATGTATGCACTAGAAGACGGATAAAATAAATCATGGACGAGTGAGAGTGAGAAGAGGGGATAGATGAATGTATGCACTAGAAGACGGATAAAATAAATCATGGACGAGTGAGAGTGAGAAGAGGGGATAGATGAATGTATGCACTAGAAGACGGATAAAATAAATCATGGACGAGTGAGAGTGAGAAGAGGGGATAGATGAATGTATGCACTAGAAGACGGATAAAATAAATCATGGACGAGTGAGAGTGAGAAGAGGGGATAGATGAATGTATGCACTAGAAGACGGATAAAATAAATCATGGACGAGTGAGAGTGAGAAGAGGGGATAGATGAATGTATGCACTAGAAGACGGATAAAATAAATCATGGACGAGTGTATACTTTGAACACAGAGACTTCAAAACTTGTCAGTCTGTTTACTGGCTATGAAAAAGACACTTCTTCTCTTAGGGATGTCATTTACATTCATGTAATTTTGGCCACCCCCTACTTACAACACCTGGAAGTGTGACTGTACCTTGCTGTGACTAGGGTAACTGCCAGTGCCATGCAACTGCAGCCCTGTATCTAGATTATCTCCACCAGGAAAGGGCAGTTCCTGTCCAGATAACTCCCGAACAAGGCATTCCTTGTACAGGTCTGACTTGAGGAACCGAGGATAGCTGTCAAATTTCATTAAGTTGAATATCTGCTTCTGTGCCTGGAGAAACAATGTTGAAGCTGCATCTGTCAGACCATCCTGTGTAGCCTGGCGTGCATGGGAATCTACATTCACAGGTTCAAGTGCACCAAGGCATAAGTGCCGTTCAAAAATGTCCCTTGCAGAAATGGTACGCTCAGTAGGACTACTGAGGGATCGGTACTTCTCACATGCCACCCAGAAGTAGATGTTCTCATGACTGAACTCCTTTTTCAAGAACTCCTGTGAGGACAAAGGAAATACTGAGGAAGTACATACAAATATGTATCCATACGATGTTCTGCTAGCAGAAACTAAAGGTTTAATACTACCGCTCTGCTATTCAGAAGCATAATGTTGTTACAAATATAACACTGTACTCAAACTAAACTAAACTGTCATAATATAAAACCTGTCCAAAATGAAAATCTGCCTTTTTCAGAAAACTTGTCACATGAATACAAAGTGAAAAGTAACGTAAAATTACCTATAATGAACAGAAAATGTATAACACAAGAACGAAACTGAACTTAATGGAACACAATATACCTGAACATCATTTTCTGGTGTTTTCCTGAAATTTATCTGACAATGAACATTCCTTTCACAAATGGAAAATAAACAAGCTAATCAACTGTATACAGAATACCTTCATGGACTACTGAAGACAGAAAGGTGAAAGAATGGATACATAGATCTCACAGAAATTGCATGGTGGACTTTGAAAGAAGAAACTATAAATATCACTGTGAAGAAATTGAGGTTAAACATTTCTTCCACAACCATCCTATACAAGAAATCGACAAACAGAAGTGTTGGTAAAGTGCTGCCAACTGGCAATACCTAAGTTATTCTGCTGACAACATTCAAATCCTGGGAGATGATTAACCATTTAAAAATTTTCTTCTCGTCACTAAGGTGTATTTTACAGCTCTTTAGAGTTTGCTCTGCAGATGGTGTGACAATATGGTTTGAACTGAAGTGATTAGTTAACATCAATGAGATGAGATAATTACTATGCATGGTAAGATCGAAAGGATGAAATGATCTTAAGTCTACTTCAAGGTACCGTTATCCTAGCTCCCCCCCATAAAATGAGAAAACTGCAGTCAGAAAAGACAGTGTCCTAGACTAAGCTCAGACTGGGTTTTTCCTAAATATGGAAGAATCAGCTCAGCACTGAGCTAACCTGTTCAGTGTGGTAGCAACTATTAGTGACAAACCCTTTATGACATTTGCCAGATTTATTCTCCTTTATTTTGTAGCACAGAAGAGACTTCTGTGCCAATGATATGAAGCAGCACTGAGAATGAATTTTCTGTGGTTGTAATTTCCTGACATACATCAATTACATGTAACAGTCAAAACAACCTCTAAACATTGGCCAGATCTGATTGTGGTAGGTCATTTGGCAGGCTGACTGGAAAAGGTGACACAGCTTTGAACATCTCTTACAAGTCACAACTGAGAATTATTTTATGATCTATTTTCATGTTACATAACCTCCACATTTAATTCAGCAGCATTAAATTAAAAACAATCTACTAGCATTACATAACCCACAGCTGTGTAAACATAATCTTAACTTCATAACACTGATCGTTACTTTTTTTCTGAAATGAGGGTGTGTGTGTGTGGGGGGGGGGAAAAAAACATATTGGTAGAATTATGGTCCTAAAAACTTACAATCATACAAAATCTTAGATCTTGAAACTGTAAATCAAGAATGTTGTATTGGAAGCGTTTTTCAGAATTCGTGGTCAATCAAATTTTCAATTCGAAGTTAGTGTTTTGTTGTTTCTTCTTCCTGATGATACACAGTTCATTTTAAGGGCCTACACAAAAAGATCAAATCAGTACAACTACAGTATTACTGGGGTGCAGAACATCACTGAGCTCGTGAAGTTAAGATGGCAATTTTGTTATATCTATAAATACTTATTTATGTATGAGGCCTGACTGAAAGTGTAAGGTCAGCACTTTGAGACTCTTAAGTAGAATAAGGCATGTTAAACTGCATAGGAATTGAGTACATGGTAGCGTAGTTGGTTGAGACACTATGCTACAAGCTGGAAGGTAACAGGTTCGATTCCTGATGAAGTCACTGGATTTTTCAATTGACATAATTCTTCCAGCTGCACTATGACCCTGGGGTCAACCCTGCCTCTAACAGAAAGGAGTACAAAGAATCTTCCTGGGGAGTAAAGGGTGGCTGGTGCATAAAGCTGACAACTATGCCACCATCTGTGAGTTGACTGTCTAGAAAGTTTGGGAGCCTCAACATCTCACAACCCTATGGGCCTCCATGGCCTCTTACAAGGAAAATTTACCCTTTTTTTTAATAGCATAGGAATGGGGGGATACAGTCTCTCAGTGAATGGTGAGTCAATGATGCCATAAAATTTACAACCCTCATACCAGATCCTGTAGTTTAGTTGCATGAGTGTTCAGGCTTTGACATTCCACATGTATAACACCTGGCCTAAATAGATGGAAATAGCTTAACCACTTACAGCAAATGTGTGTAGTCCTGCTGGATCTCCCAAAAGTTTTTCAAAAGATGTAGCCCAACTTGCAACACCTCGCTCGCGTTCATCCTCTTGTAGCAATTCCACTCCTGGATCATGGCCTTCATGCTGAAAACAGTTATACATCGTAAAGTAACTCCAACATACATAATATTATCTATACATGCAAGATAAAGCTTATACAGCCAGAGATACAGTGGTTTATTAGTATGTACGAGGGTGAGTCAAACAAAAACCTTAAATTTGTAATAAAAAATCGAAATTTTGCGCCACTATCCTGTAAGATGGTAAGCGTGTTACAAGTAGTGTGCATAATGGCCTGTAGGTTGCAGCATAGTGCAAATGCGCGAACACCGTCACAGCACCAGTATAACATGGCTGCCCCACTTGAGACCTACACGATGGAAGAACAGCGTTCTGTTATTCGGTTTTTGTGTAGTGAAGGGGTGAAACCTATTGAAATTTATCGAAGAATGAAGTTTCAGTATGGTGATGCATGTTTGTCACAGCAGCAAGTGTACGAATGGAGTAGGAAGTTTGCAAATGGTGTGACTTCAGTGGAAGATGCTCCTTGTCCGGGTCAGGCACATCGAGTTGTGACTCCAGAGAACACTGCAGCAGTTGAAGCCATAGTGAGGGAAAACCGCTGTGTGACACTGAATGAAATTGCAGCAATTTTAACATTAGTCATGGTTCAGCACACCACATTGTGCACGATGTGCTCCAGTTTCACAAAGTGTCTGCAAGATGGGTGCCATGGCAGCTGACTCCTGAATTGAAAGACCGACGTATTGATGCTTGTGAAGAACTTCTGCGGCACTTTGAACAAGAAGGTGATGACTTCCTTGCGAGAATTGTTACTGGGGACGAAACCTGGGTTCACGTCCACCAACCGGAAACGAAGAGAGCGAGCAAGGAATGGCGCCATTCCTCATCTCCAAAACTGAAGAAGTTTTGAACACAACCATCAGCAGGGAAGGTTATGCTGACTCTCTTTTGGGATGAAAAAGGCGTCATCTTGGAGCACTACACGCCTAGAGGGACAATTGTCACCAGTGCATCATACTCAGATCTCCTAAAAAATCATCTTCGGCATGCAATCAAATCACAGCAACATGGATTGCTGTCCACAGGTATCCTTTTGCAACATAATGCAAGGCCCCATACTGCCCGTACAACAGTTGTGACAATCAATGACCTGCATTTTGAGTGTCTTCCTCATGTGGCATACTCACCAGACATTGCCCCAAGTGATTTCCACATGTTTGGACCACTCAAAGAAGCAATGGGAGGAAAGACGTTCCATTCTGATGAAGAGGTACACCACATGGTGCATGAGTGGTTGCGCAGACTACCAAAAGAATTTTTTCTAAAGGAATTCATGTACTTTGTAAGCACTGGAGGACTTGCATTGAGCATGGGGGAGATTATGTTGAACAGTGATACAGCTTTGTACCACTTGTGCACAATAAATAATAATAATAAAAAAATATTTAAGGTTTTCATTTGACTCGCCTATGTATATTCAAGATGGATGCATAATCATTATGGCCCTAACATAGAATTCTCAAGAACTATTCCACTTTAATCTTTCTTTCTGTCAACTAACAATGAAAACGTTCACACCTCACCAAATAAGCAACCACTTGTACAAGTTTTCACTAATATGGAACAAGAACTTGTTTCTCATTAAATGGCTCTTATAAGGCTAGCAATCATAACTGCATGAGTCAATTACATAACATATTCCCAGAATGTGTTTTTCTTTGTATTCAAATCACCTTCACCTAACAATGCCAGTGTGATCTTTATCGGTTAACATTTTATTTATTTTGTGCATCATGGGTAAAAAAGGTGTTGCAAGTGATCCTGATGTTTGGAAAATCATGAAAGTAAGGATACCATTAATCATGGCTCAAAAACTAGACATAATGGAAAGACTTAAAGGGTGGATGATCAAGACAGTTGTATCACCATGAGCTTATCTTTCAACTGTGCAAACCATTTATTTGCAAAAGGATATGCTTGAGAAAGTTGCAGAAACACATGTTGGTGGAACGAAAATGGAACATATAACAAGAACAAGGATACAATAATGGACAAATTAGAGGGTCTATTAACCCAGTGGATCAACAGCCACAATAAATCAATACATGAATCTCAGCAGTTTTCTCATTGCTCAAGGACCTGAAGAAGAATGCTGTGGAAGAAGGGGAAACTGACATAAAGCATCATGAATATAGTCACTGATGACTGGTTGGAGTGATTTAAAATCATGCAAATTTGCATAGTCTTCACACACATGCAAGTGCAAATAAAAAGGCAGTGAAGGCATTACAAAAGAGTAGCAAAAATCAAGGGAGAAGCATATTTTCAAAAGGACAAGACAGGATATTTCTTGAAGAGAAAGTCATATCAAACATTTATTTCAAGGGATGGAAAGAAAGCACCAGACTTCCAAGTATCCAAGACTGTCTCATGCTGGCTCTTGGTGGTAATGTTGAGGGTGACATAAAGCTGAAGCCTCTTGTAAGATGGTATGGGTAACAATGGCAATGTTTGCTATGACAAGACTTCTGTCCACCCATTATTGCATATTATGCCAAAAATAATCTCAATAACAAGACATTTCTAATAACTGATAAAAATCCTGACTGCCCTATCAATGTTTAAAACTACACAGATAATATCTAAATTGTTCTTTTGTCTCCCATTACCACCTCCATTCTATGCCCTACTTGTCAGGGTGATACAGCTGCCATCATGGACTTATTATGTAAAATTCATCAGGACATACCTTCTCCTAGCACTTGATGATGAAAACATGTCAAACATTAAACAACTGTGGAAGGACTTGAAGAAAAGGGGGCTATTGATAACACTGCCAGTAACTGTAATGCAATGACTAAAAAAGATATGTTTGGCATTTGGAGGGCTTTGCCACAGAAATCTGTATATGATTTCAAGGGATCTGATACTGCTGCTGAAGGAATGCTGCAGAAAATTGAGAATCTGGTACATGAAGCTGGATTTGATGATGTCCAAAGTAAGGTGTTGGCATTACATTCTAAAAAATCATGGAATGAAGAGCTCCTTCAGTTCAGCTAAGAAAGATCAAGCAACGAGAAAATTAAACCCCAAAAAATGCACGCAAGATGGTGGCGGTAGAGGCTGTGCAGAGTATTTGCTCTCGCCATATTGAAGAACATTTTTGTGAAAGTGAAGAAAACAGGTGCCAAAATTGCTTCAAAATGACAGAATACCTAAAAGTGCTTATGTCAGAATTGAAATCTGTGCAATTAATAAATACAATTTTATCGGAAGAATTTAAATCTTAGATGAACATAAGAACACCGAAAACCTACCTACAGGTGAGAAACTTATATATCAAACCAAAAACTACGCAGAAAGTGAAAGTTAAACATCTGACGGGAATTGCAAGAACCCTAAAGAAACTCGAGGAAGGAAAACTGTGCACGCAAATCATCAAACCCAGACAATGAACCAACAACTAAACATATCTAACCTTCAAGCATCTAAGGATAATGATCAACCTATACCAACTGCAGTGAATGGTGTAATTTGGGTGAATAATAATAAAAAAACAGATCAAAAGTATAATGAATATACTGAAAAGAGTATAAAGGAAAAATGTAAGAGACACAGAGTCCTGCTACTTGGGGACAGTCAAACGAGAGGTTGTGCAGACTTACTAAAGCCGAATTTAAATTGTGTTTGATGTCAGTGGATTTGTGAAGCCAGGAGCAAAGTCAAGGGATATTCTAGGCACAAATTTTGATAAAGACATGTCAAAGGATGATATTGTAGTAGTCTGCTGGATCCAATGACACCAGTAAAAATAATGCAAAAGGAAAGATTAAAAAACATAATTAACTTTGTAAGAAGAACCGGTCACACCAACATCATAGTCATGAAAGCACTACACAGACATGATTTAGGTGACTCGTCATGTGTAAACAAAGAGATTGAACTATTTAACAGACTTCTAACCAAAAGACTGAAATTATATAAACAGGTGTCAATTAGTAGTCTAAATGTGCCAGCAAATAGCAGAATTGGTTCAGTGGTTAAAGCTCTTCCACTAAAATACGAAGACGACACAGTCCATGAAGAGGCTACTCAACTAGAATACAAAGAAGACACTATCCATGAGGAGGCTGCAGAAACCCAGGGGAACGAAACAGATAAAACTTCAGCAGACCCATCCCTTAACCGTGCGGTGCTATTTGAAAGAGATCAACAGCAGGAAGTTCATATGTCAACCAGACAAAGGAGGCCCCCAGTAAAGCTAAGTAAAGATTTTTTTATAGATAAGCATAGTGCTGGTATCCTCAAGAATTATAATAATAAAGTCAATGCAAATATTAAGATATTCCATCAAAACGTGCAAAGTCTAAATAATAAAAACCTAAATATGGGTGTGCTAGTAACAGATAAAGCACTAGAGTTGGAGGAACTATGTATCACCGAACACTGGTTAGAGGAAAAAGAAATAGGTTATTATAATTTTGAAAACTATTCCCTTATATCAAAACAAATCTAGAAGGAAAGCCTTATTACTTGTTTGAAAACTTTGATCAAGAAGAATACTCTGAGGCTAGTATAATCGAACTTATCCAGTTTAATATAATTATTATCTGTGTATACAGAACTCCCAACAGTAATATTAATATATTTATTGAAACCATGGATACAATAATTAGTAATTTAATAAACAAAGGGAAGAGCATCATTATCGTAGGTGATGTCAACATAGATTTCCTAGGAATAAGAGTAAATCTACAACTACAGACAATGTTAAACTCATATGGCTTGCAAGCAATAGTTGATGTCCCAACGAGAATAGGACCTAGAAGTCAAACAGCAATAACTCAAATAACATTGAACAAGGGCTTATGGGGATACAATCTTAAGGTGATTGAAACAGGATTTTCTGACCACAAAGCACAGATACTACAAAGACAGATGCAGTATAAGAATAAAAAGGGGCAAGTTACACTAAAGGAAAAATTCCGAATAGCTAGATCTTACAAGGAAGAGAATGTACAATACCTGAACTATCTACTAGAAAAAGAGACTTTGGAGTT